TCTCTATGCAATTTGTAATATATGCATGCAAATGGGAAAATGTGAAATCAATAACATTAGTTCGAAAGATAATGTGATAAACACGACAATTAAGGGTGCTATGAATATGAAATAGTTGAGGGGTCAAAAATTATATTTTGGCTAATTTGTAAGACAAATGTAATTGTTTATTATAAAAGTAATTTACGGAAAAGTATCTTGACTTTTAGTCTTTTTTATAAGTACCCGATAAGAATTAATAATTACATGAGAAACCTCTTTAGAACAAGTTGGTTTATTGTCCTTTTCAATAGCAAAAACAGAAAGAGAAGGGCACCACAAAGATGACAAACATATTATTTTCAATCTCGTGCAACGACAAGCGTAAGAAATAACCAATCTGAGCAAGCAAACTGCCCTTTGGGTTTTTTTTTCAAACTTGTGAAAATTTTCACTTTCCTCTCAATTGTCAAAAGTTGGTTCGAATACAGAGCATCATTTGTCCAATAAGACATGGGATTGTAATTTAAGGATCTAATTTGCTATTATTATTTTTGAATTAATAATGAATTCTAACATTAATAAAGTATATTGTGTCCCCAAATATAACATTAATAAAGCCGGATTTATTGAGGACAACAACCGGAAGACTTTTCAAAAAAAACTGCTACGGTACCAATATTAATCACATTTGTGAATTTTTTATTATTATTGTGATATTGCAAAAAAATGGTAAAAATAATTATCACAACAGTGATAAAAGTATCCACAAAAATAATAATTTTTTTTTTCTACCAAAAAAAGTTACAAAAATAGTTTCCACAGAGTGATAAAATTAAAACTCCTACAAAAGTGGTATTTTTTTATTTTTTATTTTTTTGTAAAATACCTACAAAATTATAAAAAGTAAAAACACTCATTAAAATAGTAAAATTTGTTGATATTATATCAAAATTATTTGTTTGGGTACCCTAGTTATGTCCTACATTTTTAAAATAGTAAGTGTGTTCAAATTTCTGATTACCCGAATATTTCAATCTTATCCTACACTACTGATCGGCTACCGCAAAAAATTGGATAGGCTAACAGAATAAATTTTTGTATTTTACAAAAATCGGGTAAGAATGTGAAATACCTATAAAAATTTTGTCTTCCTATCCGCATATATATATTTACTTTTTAACATTGAAAAATATGTGTATCTATGTGTTTAATTTTTAACATTTTTAACACTGTTAATGTGTGCAAAAACCACAATTAATGTGTCAAATTTTTAACATTTTAGCATTTTAACATTTTTAATATTATTGTGTTGGTTAATTGGTGTAGGTTATTTAATTGAATTGTTAAATTGATGTAAAAATGAATAATTAAAAAATATTTTATTCACCCGACTTCCTACCCAATTATTTTAGATGGAATTCGAATAGAAATAATACATTTGATCGAGTAGGGTAAGCTACGAAAAATATTTTTCACAAAATATTGAATAAAAAATTAAAATAACATAATTCCTACCCGAGTCAACGACCCCGCTTCCCTCCCTATCTCCATTTGTCTGCACAATTAATTAGGGGTGTTCACCCTACCCTACGGGTTGGAGATATAGTCTTTCGTCTTCTACCTGATACTTTGCGAAAGAATTTTTTCTTGACCTACTCTACCCGATCAGGTGTGGTATTCTTACCCAACTTCCTATCCGATTGATCAGGTAAGATATCGAGAAGGAAGTCGGGTAAACATTTTTGTATCTATTAATTTTTGGATCATTTTAACAATTCAATTAAATAACATGCACTAATTTAACAGCATAATAAATCAATAACACTAAAATTTAAAATAATTACAATAAACACAAAAAAGTATGGACATCAATAACAATTATTTTTAATTTAAATCATATGAAACACATTAAAATCATAATTGTTTCAATAAATTACCAGTTAATCACAAATCATATAACCTACACAAAAAATAAGTTCATGTTTTAGCAACTCAAACATCCACAATAATAATAATGTTATAATATAAATTATACCACACAAATACTCTTACAATTACTAAAAAAAATATTAAAAAATTAAATATATTTTTTGCATATAAGAAAGGGTAGAAATGTGAAAATTGATGGGTATTCCGCATTTTTACCCGATTTAATCGAAAGATTAAAAACTCTTTCCACTTTTTTTATTTAATTTTTGTGATTAACCGTTTAATAGGGTAGGATAAAATCGAATAGACTAAAAAATTATGATCAATCAAAAATTTGAATACCCTCGTGGCTAACTGAGACACAGCTTTCGTACTAACTTTCAAGCCATTAATACTGAAAACGTGGTGGTTACAACCTGCCATTTTCACACTGGTCCAGCCACTCAATACAGTGTAGTACATTGCTTTCAAAGCTATCTTTTCAGCCGTCCTCCTATTTGCTATGATTGTCTATAATAAATTTTTCAACCGTTAATATGCCATTAGAGGGACGTCCAGATGATGCCAACCAATTTATATAGATGTTGACTTAGTCTTTGGTAAGAAATATAATATTAATTCTATTGTTATTGATTATATTGATTCAGATTATGCTAGTTATCTAGACAAAAGAAGATCTCTCTTTTTAGGTGCATTGTAAGTTGTAGGACGATCTTACAATCTACAGTTATTTTGTCTATCAGAGAGACAAAATATATAACAATATTAGAGGTAGTTAAAGAAACAATTTAATTGAGAAGTTTGGTCAATGACTAGGACTTGGAAGAGGAGGTAACTATTGTATTTTATAATAGTCAAAGTATAATATATTTAACCAAAAATTAAATGTATCATGAAAGGATCGAATACATTGACGTTAGATATCACTTTCATCCTGACTCAAAATATTGTCATAATGAATAAGGTTGTTACAGTGAAGAACCCAATAGACATTTTTACTAAGCCGATACCAGTACTCAAATTTAAACATTGTTTGAACTTAATTGATATTTGTACCGTTTGAGTTGTACACTACGGGGTATTTGGTGAAGACAACAACCAAGTTCACTTTAGTTGAATAGCGTGATGGAATACAAGTCAAGATAGAGATTTATTATATATGACTTGTATTCAAAATCTAATTGGATCCAATTTAGTGGACGTCATTCAGAATTTATGGGCACCGAGGTTTTGGTGGGTTTAAAGATATCAAGGATAGTTCATAACAATCCTTATCTACACCAACTTGGTTAAAGGTGGTTTTGCCCAACACATAATGGACTTTGGGGGAAACGCTTTGACTTTAGAAGTGTTTGGAAAAAAAAGGAGTCCAGAAGCTTAAAGCTTGGGAATGAGGGCAGAAGACGCTTTTCAGCTCTTTGAGTACTCCTAATGCTTTTTAGGGCGAAAACGTCTCCTTTTTGGTGGTATCTTTCTGGCGGTTCGTGATTATGGGTGTCTGTGGACGTGTTTTCCCCATAAACATCCATCAATTGTGTGGTAACTGACGTGGAAGGTCCTTCTAACAGTAAACTGGTTATTTTTCATAGACTGATACCAGCTTTTGAAGCAAAATTTTGAGCTGTCTCCACATTAGTTCCCTAGACCACAACCATCTGAAAAATAAATCGAAAACCAGAGGAGCTCTAAAGTTGATCCTCCAATGCTTATGTTAGTATTAGGTCCGTCAACGGATCGGATATAAACCGAATTGGCCTATATCCAAATCTGAATTTGATTTCCGACAAATTTAAAGAATTCAATCCATGTCCAAATCCATTAATTTTTGGACATCTGATCCCATTTGATTATCACAAAAAACACACGTACAAGAATTTGGATAATGAACTAAAAAAAAGGAGGAAAAATGAAATTTTAAAGTAAAAACATGAGGGAAAATCAAACAAGAGGGCAAAAAAAATTTCATGAATAATACATTATAATATTCACTCTATTTGTTCTTATTTTCCGCTATAAGTATAATATATTGATGATATTTATTTACATAATACATTTTTTATTTGAATCAGATTAATAACAGATCGGATTATTATAAATCCATATCCGAATCCGTTTAAACAACTCTAGTCGGATTCTGATCAGATTAGATTAATGGATTGAAAATCTAATCCATATCCGCTTAAACAGATTCAAATTCGGGTTGAAATTCGGTCCATTAACACGCCTAGGAGACTCAAAAAAACAGAAAACTGCCATGTCTAAGCTATCGCATACTTGATACATTGATATTCACCACAATAAAGCATTACAATTTTAGTTACAGCAACTTTGCTATGAAACTAATAAGTGATTTCATCTCCTGGTCGACACAATTTCTGCAGTCCTGCACGTTCTTGTAAGATCTTACGCATAACAGTTTGGAATAGAAGCAAAAAGAATGGTCAAACGTATTAACAAGTGATACATCTACAAGAGAACAAGAAAGAGAGCCTAGTGGAAAGGTTTTGGCCACCCACCTTTCTCCCCGGTATGTCCCTCGTGGGTTCAAGCCTCGCCCCATGAAAATGCTTCCCCTACTCTCTGGATGTAATGGTTCTGAAAAAATATGATACCAGCAAATATCCAAGAGGGGGCTAACAAGACAATCCGACATGTTTTCCACTTCGCAAAAAGGCATCAGTGAAGCTAGCAACAATGTGATGAATATGGAACGAAAACTAATTAGACTAACTATGCAAGGAAGCTAGACAAAACTTATGGAAGAGTAAGATCACAGGCAGAACACTTAATGAACAAGTGAAAAAAAAACTTACCCAAAAAGGTCAGACAGATGCTTGCTTGTCATTACATGCACTCTGTCAACCCCCAAATTTAATCTTGATCCGAGAACTCTTTTCCTCTATCTATCTTCTCATCATGCCACTTAGAGAAGCCTTCTACTAGTGCATCTCTCATCCATGGATGTCGACAACACTCTACTGCTTTAGGTATGGCTAGCCAATTTCTTCTTCTAGTGTTCTGTTCTGGCCACGATTCAAGCTCTTCCTTGACGAGCAAAGAAAACATTGCTGCTTTACAGACACCTTCTGGGCTACATTCATCTTGACGGGTTTTGCTCTTGAAGTGGTAATACCCAAGAAATCCCTGAAAAAATGTGAAAGCACAAATTAATTTCTACTAGTGTTCTAATCTTGCATTTCCTGGAGTGGGGAGATGGATTTTGGCCAGGAGATATAAGAATAGCACATGTGAAGCAGATATGTTCCAGTAAAACAGAGAAGGCAAAATGAATCAAGGACACAGCAGATGAAGGTGCTGAAGCTATCTGAATGGCAATAAGAATTCTGCCGCCGACTGCAATGGGTTGGATCAAGAACCATCAGACCCAATAAACAAAAACCTAGAACCTACAATAACGTGAATACCATAGATCTTGTTAAAATGAAAGAGTTAAAACCATGGCCACAATTTCTACAAGGAGCTATTATACAACACTGGTCCAAGAAAAATAAGTCATATCTGACTACCCCCAGTAACGTGTTCCAAGACAGCTTAGCAGGTGCAACATCTGTGCTTATTTCTTAAACTACAATATTTTGTTATATAGCTTTCTCCAGAAGGTATAGCATAATAGCTAGAAGTAAGAATGAATATGGACTTCCATTAAACCTAAATGAGTTTGTTCGTTCATCTTAAATAAAACATTGCAGAAAACGAATAACAACTAATTTTGATGGTGTAGGATCAATTGTAGAATTTTCGAACTCAATGCTTTCAGTTTCTTCACCATCATTCTTCAATGGAAGACATTTTCCTACTCACTCCAATAATGAAAAAATTCCTTAATTGGAATGAGATGAAAGATACGGGGTCAATCACATTAATGATGCCTTAATTTGAATTAAATACTATCGTTCTTCATCACGTCAACTACAGGAGAAAAATATTACATATTATATTCACAATCCCGCCCACACACCCAAAAAAATGAATAAATAATTTGAAAAGCCATCTTCATGCCCTCTCATGGTCTCTCAAAACTTTGGAGCATCCATCAGAGTTATCAGTTACATCCTTTAGCTGAATGCAGGAAATTTTTGGTGGAAATAGCATTTCTTGAGAAAATAGGAGAGGAGAGGGAGAGGGTGAGGGAAGGAGTTGAAGGGAGACTTTTATCATAATGACAAACTAAGTTCTCACCATTAAGACCCCTCGAACTCCAGCTTCTTCTGTAGCTTCCCTTGCTGCTGCCTCCTCAACAGTTTCATCACCCTCCCAGCCTCCCTAAAAAGTTGTCTCAAGTTAAAAAAAGATAACCAGGATAAATCTGAAGACTCTGAACATGTTAAGCATCAAAATAGACAACAATTCCTACGCGAAATACAAATCCAACACATTAACAATTTGTAGCATGATTACATGACCAAACATACTCCATCTGAAGGAGTAATTGGTGTAATTTGATAGCTTTCCCTAGACAATTACATAAAAGTTACCTAAAAATGATATTAAAAGACCCATTTCACAGAAACATCTAAGATGACTGTTTCCAGAAACATCAAGACAATTACATAAAGGAAAACAATAAAAAGAGGCATGTTGTAAAAACTTCTCATCATCTTCAAAAAATTCAGTACAATTAGCCCAGATTTATCATCAAGAAGATTCTGTATTTGATAAACATAGATTGAGAACATATCAGGGTGTCATATTTGCTTCATGAATACAAGAGAGAAACATAAAAGTTCATCAGGTCTTTCTGTGGAATCTCAACACACACACACACACACACATTTGCCTGTCAAATACAGTGTAAAATAAGCATAGGCCCGTCAAAGCAGTAAAGAAAAACAACTTATAAAACATTGGAACCTTAAGAGAAACTAAAGGTTGAAGCATTCAACTCCGAAGCCGACATTCATAACTTCAGAAAAGAAACCATGAAATTTGGTGCACTGAGCTCTAATTCATGCATCTCTTTCTCAGTCGATACCCTCACCAGCTGCCTCATCTTATTCAGTACAATTGTACAAGTCCCCTCAAAATTTGCAACCGTGGCACAGATATTTTCAACTGGGGGTTGTGGAGTAAAGAAACGAAATGCTTCAACAATAAATGGTACAAGGCAGCTGCCTGGCTGTGCACTACTGAAAATGAGAAACAATCCAAGTAATCATTTTTTTTCATTTTTCTCCCCCAACTTTAATCATAGGAGCATTTCTTATATATTGGTTACACTTAACCCGATATACCCAAGAAATACCACCTCCAACTCATAGTTTTTTTACATATGCTCATCAATACTCGCAATATCCAGAATAATAGGTATTATATTGCAAAATGCTCATCAATACTCACAATATCCAGAATAATAGGTATTATATTGCAAATCACATGATAAACTAACACTTTTGGAAGTGGATGCAAAATGCTAGGCACTAAAATAAAAGACATCACAATATCACATTCTCCATGATGCGATCTACTCAGCAAAGTGCTTGCTATATTTACACCATCATCCATAGTCCACTAAATTCCTACTTTGTTATTTTCCTTATTCTGAAAAGTTGCATTAATTTGCGTCAATTTCTTATTTTCTTGTCCCTTTCCCAAAAGAAACACTACTCTATATGGAGGGACTTTTAAACCCTAGCCGTATTTTTAGAAATATTTAATCATCTAAAAATGCTAAGGCTTATCATTAACGCGAAGGGAAATCTTTTGGGCAAACTTTACTTTATGCCCTTGTAGTTTGCACATCTCCTCCCTCTTCTTCAAAAATAGTAATATAACCCTCTCATGATTTGTGGACCAAATTGAACCATTAACACTGGTAACTGCAGTGACAAAATAACCTGAATACATGGTTCAAGGTTCCGGTATCGATCATTTACTTGGGGGACATCGGTCAAAACACAGTATCTACCGATACACTCAAAATGCTATACAAAAGGATCAAAGAAATTTGAAAAAATTATAAAAAATGATAATAAATGTAAACATCATCATCCATGCATCATATCCCCAAAATGCATTATTGACCACATTAATCATTGTAAAAATGAATAATAAGGGAGGTGCCAAAAATATTTGTCATCATCTATGTTCAATATAAGCATTTAAGCCCATGGTAGGCCAATATCATTGCCACATTGCATGGCGACGAGGTTCGAAATCATTATTATTTTCTCCATGATAATTATACAAGTTCGGTAAGTAATTCCCACTATAAGAATATGGATATAAATATGAATGCCCTTCTGATTGTGTTCGTTGAGATGATTGACAAGATGATTCATAATCAGAGTAAGAGGACTGCGGAGGTTGTGCTAGCTCAACCCCATGTTGATATTCAAAGTCACTACCAGTAGAAGACTAAGCGTATCTATAATAGTAGATACCACCTGTGGACAAGGTAGAAGATCCATGGTTACGCCTTCTCCAAAAATGATCATAGTAACCATCAATGCTTATACTAGTAAATAATGCATCAGATGATGACCACAATGACCAATACTATTAGTACTACCGCATATTGTAGAGCACAACACTAGCTTATGCAACTTCTACATTCTCAAGCAGTTGCCAAGTCTTGTATAAATTAGTGACCAAGTACTACAATTTCTTTCACAGCCTAATGAAGAACACGTTTGGCTTAAAGCTTTGATTGCAATTTTATGTAGATGAGGGGCTTTTTCACAATAATTGATCCACCATTCAGCTACGATACAAATATGTGGATAATATTAGAGTTTGTGACTTTGAGCTATTTAATAAAAAAAGGACGACCATAAAGTTTAAATATTAAACTTGGAAGAGAGACATTTACTACTTTCTTAGTGAATGCTTTTCCAAACTATCCATATCTATCAGTGTATGATTTAATCTGCAAAAAAAAAATTGTTATATATGTACAAAACTCAATCCATATGTATATTATATTATACATTATGAAGAATTGACATATCCCATTCATAGTCCGTGCTTGTTTACTCAAATCTAGTTTCAATCACTTAATAACCTCTTTTGGTCCAAATCTTACCTCAGGATGACTCAAAAATTTATTTGAATAGTTTTGACATTTTTAGATATATATATATAGTCCAAGTGCTATAATTGTCATTCACTAATCAATTTGAAAATGTTAAATGTTGCATGCAAGTGTCGGTGCATCAGAGTCTCCCATCTATTGTCCTTCAACTTTTGACCGAATGTCTTATAGTCAGTTTTGCTCTATCAATTGCCTCATATACCACAAATAAGGTTTTTGGTCTTAATTGACTATCTTTAGGACCCTAATGAGAGGCTCCATTACGAATTGGACTTCTCTGGCCTTTTTCCAAAATCGTTCGGTCAAAATGAGCTTTGAGATCTTATCTCTCACAATTCTTCTACTCTAGTCTTTGTTGAAATAACGCGAGTCACTTGTGGTGCACAATCTTTTCAAATCAATTTCATAATGGATAAGGCTTTCAATGACAATGAATTCAGTGGCATACCGTGTTATACCTTGCCTCAATAAATTTGTTTTCTCTCGTATGTTGTTTGATAAAGTTCACCACTTTAACACTATTATAGATAAATGATGTGATGACATTTGTATCATCTAACGTCTCCTTAATTGATTTTATCTTGCCAATATCTTCTAGCATCAAATCAATGTAATGGACTACACAAGGAGACCAAAACATATGTTTTCTCTTATCCATCAACGTCTTGCCAGCTGTTTTGTAATTTGCCTCATTGTTGATTACCACAATGATAACCACCTGTATTACATTTTCTTCCCCAACCTCATCCACTACTTTATCCATAAGGGAGAGTTGAAATAAAAATATAATATTAGGGTTAGAAATATGTAGAGAAAGGAAGAGAAAACAAAAAGAAAGATAGAAAGAATAATCTGTGTATAGGCACTGTTGCCCTATTCCTTTTTATTTATAACTAAGCAATGTTTGAGTAATTACAATATTACCCTATACTAATTAACACATGACTCGATATATAAAATAAAAACTCTAACACTCTCCCTCAAGGTGGAGCATAAAGATCAAAAATAGATAGCTTTAAACATAAACTACTAAATTCAGATCGAGCCAATAGCTTAGTAAGAATAGCACCCAACTGATCACTAGACTTAATATATGGAGTGATGATCTCTTTCCACATCAATAGGTCTCGAATAAAATGGCAATCCACCTCAATCTATTTGGTACTCTCAAGGAATACTGGATTACTTGCAATGAAAATAGTTGTTTGGTTATCACAAAGCATCTTCATAGAGACACACCAAGTCCCATATCACGAAGAAATGAATGAACCCATAACATCTCACAAGCAGTATGAGTCATAGCACGATATTCAGCCTCTACACTAGAGTGGACAACCACATTCTGCTTCTAACTGTGCCAAGTAACAAGATTATCTCCTACAAACGTACAATAACCAGTCGTAGACCATCTATCACCATAACTCCCTGCCCAGTCAGCATTAGAAAAACTAACAGGTATGGACGATAAAGGGTGATATAATAGTCCTTTCTCCGGAGCTCCTTCCCAAGGCCAAATCGGCACACAAGCAATAGAACCCAAGCATCCAATCAAGAAGAAAGGGTTCGAAAACATAGATATGAAAAAATAGGACCTATTTTGCCAAAAATATTCAGAAATATGAAATAATAACTAGATGGCTTCAAAAAATTGGCAAAATTCACCATCAGACTCCCCATGCCAAGTCAACTCAGGCAGCTACTCTAGCGATCGTTGGTTATTGATGTCATGCTAACGTCAACATGACATTAGCCTCTTCCTAATGACGTCAATGACTGTAAACCTCCCAAAACTTCCTAATAGTGTTTTTAGATGTTAATCGACCTTGATTATTGTTCTGATACCAAGCTGAAATAGAAAAATAGGGTTAGAAAGATATAGAGAAAATAAAAAGAAAGATAGGAAGAATAATTTGTGTATAGGCATTGTTGCCCTACACCTTTTTGTTTATAACTAAACAATGTTTGAGGAATTACAATATTACCCTACACTAATTAACACATGGCTCAATATATAAAATAAGAACTCTAACAGGGAGAAAATATAGTCAGCAGTTTTTGATACATTGGTGGTATCGACCGAAGTATGATAAATCATGTTTCGGTCACAACAGAGCATGAAATTAATAATGAGGTTTTTAGTTCTAGTCTTCTAGAACTCAATTGTGCAACCATATTGAGGCTATATTAACTTCAAAGAGAAGATATATATCTCAGGTTCTTGAACTTCCACCTCCAAATAAGAGTTACCAATCTAGTATCCAGTATGCCCTTAATTCCTAGCCCAGCATCAACAATAGTATGCTTCAAGTAACATTTTCAAATTCATTATTGAAGGAATTTTATAGCTATATATATATATATATATATATATATATATACACTCATTTTATTTTTCCTCGTTTACAAACAGATACTGTGCTGATTGTAAGCTCCAAGTATGAGATGCTACTATTCCCCACACTTGTATCAGTCTTAGTAGGCTAGCCCATCTAGTGCTAGTCCAGTAAGTATTGAAAATATACTTGTGTGTAAATTATTATTGTTATTGTTTATTTTACATTTCAATTTCCCATTCATTTCTGCTGCTTTCTGCTTCCGCTCTATTTTGGTATCAGAGCCATTCGACGGTCTTGATATCTATCTGCTGAATTATATTTGAATTATCTGATTCATTTCAAAATTCTTATTGTTTTGAATTCTAGAAATCATTTTTAAGTATGTACTTAGCTAAGGCACCTAACCTTTGTTTATCCAAGAGTCTGTAAGCCTCTCGATATCTCTTTGTAAGTCCCTAAGGGTAGGGCAGTTGTGAGATTTAGGTGAGAAAGTGAGGAATGAATGATAGGGGGTATGACCTTAGTGGTTTTACTACAGTTGTAGTTTTTACTTAAAAATAATTTTGAAAATTTAAAGCAATCTGTAATTTAAAAATGAATAGGTTATTCAGATCTAATTCCACAGCTAGTTCATCTAGATCTTCATCTAGTACTATACCTAATATAGTGAATGAAGAAAACTATGAATGTGAAAATAAAAATGTAGATTGGACAGGATGGAATATCCCTTCTGTACCACACAAAGAAATTTACAAAACTAGTTGGATCCCTAGAACTTTCAGTGAAAAATTAAAAGTACGAACCATTGAACAAGTTCATGCATTAAAAAATAGTGAAGAACAAGTTCAACTCTTAAGTAAAGAAGAATTGAAAATCCACAGAAATGAAGGATTTAATTTCATTCATTTAGGATTAGTCCAGGTAGCTATAAAGCCCCTGACTACTGATGGCATGAATTCTGCAGTTCTATTATCCCTAAGAGATGCACGATTTATTACTTATAAAAATGGCATTTTAGGAATAATGGAAGCTAGACTTCATGAAGGCCCAGTATATTTTAATTGTTTTCCTGATTTTACATTAAGTCTACATTGCCAGCATACTCCTAAAGCCTTAACCTTAGGAATCAAACTCTC